CTGTTCGCTTCTCTGGTTTGCTCCCTGTGTTGCCTCTGCCTGGCTCCTGCATGGAGCCCTTCCCTCGGTGGAAGGTTTTCACCTAGCATCTGTCCAGTAGATCGCAGGAGGTCGAGCCGCCGGGTCAGCGCAGGTATTGAGAGTTCTGTTCCCCGGCAGGTGCACACCGTGCCTCGAGGCAGTGTCTTCCCACTACCCCACCCCCGAAGCTACACGGGGCAGCCATTTCTGGTGTAGCGCTGAGCCAGACCATTTCAAACGCGCATTGACTCTTCCTGCTTCCTCTTAGGAAAAGCCCTTGCTTGTGTCACTTGCCTAGTTCCCAGTTTGGTTTTCTTTTCTTAGTGATTTTGAGTGTGTGCACTGAGTGTCATTTATAGTGTTAGTTTGTCACTGGTGGACTTGTTGGCCTGTTGGGTTGGCCTTACGAGGGACACTTGGCTCATGTCATCCGTCCACCACTGGCAGAGCTTGGAGTAGAAGACCGCACTCCTGTGAGGGGGCGGGGAGCCCAGATGGGGGGGGGGGCTACCCAAGAGTGGCTTTGGAGCAGTGATGTGTGACTCTTTGGGACTAGTGTGCCCCAGTCCTTGAAGTGGGACCACACCCAGGGTCCCGGGGGCAGCGGGGAGACCACGTGGAGGTGAGGGCAGCCCGTGAGGCCTCACTGTGCAAGCACGTGGGCATACAGACATCCCCAGGTATCGCGTCAGTGCGTGTCCTACTTCTACTTAACGTGCCCGTGGTGGCCCAAGGCTCTGCGTTTCCAAAAGGCTCCCAGGTGCAGCCCTGAGAGGGTGTGAGGCCTCAGGTAGGCATGGCCAGTGGGACTGGGAGCTGAGCGGGCAGGGCTGAAGGCCATGAAGCTAGCAAGGTCACCCAGAGTGTTGGTCCGGATCAGTTTGAAGGTGTGGCCAACAGGATTTGCTAATGGAATAGGTGTGAAATGGCGGCAGGGCCGGGGGGGTGGGTGGGTGGCAGTGGGGCCTCCCAGATTTTAGTCTGAACGCCCAAGAGGATGGAATTGCTGTTTGGGGGAGCTAGCTGGAATTCTTTCTTGGACCCGTCTGGGCAGCGTTGCCTGCATGGCCTCAGCAGGGTGGACTTGGGCATAGCTCTCCGGGAATTTCACAGAAAGAAGAGTGAGCCATTGGCAGGCATCCCAGGGGGGGGTGGCTGGAGTTTTGTTCTTTTGTGTTTTTACGGTGGGAGAAATGATGGCAGGTTTGCTTGCTGCTGGGTGTAGTTTGGTGGGGAAGGAGAAATGAGTAGCGCAGGAGGGAGGGGATCCGAATAGGGGTGACCTCCGCTGACATGCTGGGGAGGGCGGCAGGCGGGGGCCAGTGAGGAGCTCGGTGCAGCTTCTTTTCTGATGCTGTGCTCTGAGTGAGAGAGGGGATGTCCTGTGCCCCCAGTGAGACCTCCAGCAAGACTCTTGTGTTCCAGGGGTGGTCAGCTGGTGGGCACAGAGATGGGGAAGAGCGGGTGGGGTGGGATGGGAGGCCAAGGGTATTGATGCCAGCCTGAGGGCTGGCATGGGGCTGAGTGGGAGGGGTTTCCCCCCACAGGAGTTGCACTGTGGACCATGACAAGGCTCTTTCTCTGTTTTGATATAGGTGGTTATTATCATGGAAAACTAGTTTTTCCCAGAGAATTTCCTTTTAAACCTCCTAGTATTTATATGATAACGCCCAATGGAAGATTTAAGTGCAATACAAGGTAAGGCATTTTTGCTTCTCAAGTGTTGAGTGGGGTCCGGATTGGGGTGAGCTCTGTTGAGTGGGTCCCTGTTTTTCAGGCTGTGTCTTTCCATCACGGATTTCCACCCAGACACGTGGAACCCGGCCTGGTCTGTCTCCACCATCCTGACAGGGCTCCTTAGCTTCATGGTGGAGAAGGGCCCCACCCTGGGCAGCATAGAGACGTCGGACTTCACGGTGAGGGCTGGAGGGCATGGTCGCGTGTTGGGGGGCTCCCTCTCATGTCCTTGCTCCCCAGGAACACTCGCTGCTCCGCTGCTCTGGGCTTCCTCGTTCTCATCAGCAGCGGGAAGAACAGGCCGAGCCTCCTCAGGGGTCTTGGGTGGGGCAGGCAACACCACTGGTTTTATTTTTCTATTGTTTAAGTAGGACTCAAGTTTAATGTTACTAATTGATGATAATGGAGAGAAAAATAAGCCTTGATAAGACTAAATTAGTTTGTTGTGAAGAGTGAGTTTATTGAGTATTTTCAACAATGTGAAGATAGCGGCTTTTGAGGATAAAACCGTCTTTAGAATTTGAAAGAATTGAAGTTTATCTTCGGGCTGATTCTTTCCCTTCTCTTTCTTCCTAGAAAAGACAACTGGCTGCACAAAGTTTAGCATTTAATTTGAAAGACAAAGTCTTTGGTGAATTATTCCCTGAAGTCGTGGAGGTAAGGAACAGGGGCTGCCAGTCAGTTCTACCCCCTTGCACACCGGAATCTTCCAAAGAGAAGACGGTGCTGCTCTGCGTCTCTGTGCTGCAGACACACAGCACGGAGGGCACCTGTGCCCACGGGCACCTGCAGGAGCTAAGTGGCAGGCGCAGCCCCGCCCCCCTCCGCCAGGTGCCCAGGGTCAGGGGGGCTTGGATGCTGGGGTTGGAGCTGGAGAGGCCAGGGAAAGGGAACGGGACGTCAGGGCGTGGAGCTCCTCAGGTGGGCTGCTGAGCTGCAGGGAGGGCCCTTGGCCAGGAGGGGCAGGGTGAGCTGCACTAAGGTTGAGGCCACGGTGATTCCGTGTCACTTGGACCTGCTTGGTCTAGGCCCTGAGAGGTGCAGGCTTGGTGATTTTGACAAGTCCCTGGGCCCCCTCATCTGTAAGACAGAGTTAGCAGCAGCCCCCACCTCCGACAGTGGGTATCAGGATCGAATACATGGGGCTGGCGACTGCCGGCCCCACAAGTCTTTGTGGTGGATCTTAGAATCCTCCCTAGTCTTTTTTTTTTAAGATTTTATTTATTTATTTGACAGAGAGAATGAGAAACAGAGAGCATGAGAGGGAGGAGGGTCAGAGGGAGAAGCAGACTCCCCGCCGAGCAGGGAGCCCGATGCGGGACTCGATCCAGGGACTCGATCCCGGGACTCCAGGATCATGACCTGAGCCGAAGGCAGTCGCTTAACCAACTGAGCCACCCAGGCGCCCCAGAACCCTCCCTAGTCTTAAAGGAACTCGTTTGTTTAGACCAACCGTTGTTTCTTTTTGTTTTTATCTTAGGAAATTAAACAAAAACAGAAAGCCCAAGATGAACTCAGTAGCCGACCCCAGGCTCTCCCCTTACCAGATGTGGTTCCAGATGGGGAAACACACCATGGTCAGAACGGGCTTCAGCTCCTCAATGGGCATGCGCCAGGGGCTGGGCCACACCTCGCGGGGCTCCAGCAGGCCAACCGGCACCACGGACTCCTGGGCGGCGCCCTGGCGAACTTGTTTGTTATAGTCGGGTTTGCGGCTTTTGCCTACACGGTCAAGTACGTGCTGAGAAGCATAGCGCAGGAGTGAGCCACATGCCACGGCCGGCAGAAGTGGTCAAAAACGAGGGACACTGGGCCCGAGCTTGCCATGGGCTGGCTGGACGTGCCGCCGAGCGCAGGGTGGACCTGCCTGACTCCTGGGGTTAGCTTTTTAAAAACCTTGAAAAGGAAAACAAAAACCAAAGTGTGTAATTTGGATTTAGAGGAGATGCAAGATTCTCAGCTCCCTGTCCTCGCTCTGGGGTCGTTGGGGACCATGGAGCTTGGGTGTCGAGGAGGAGGGGCCTCACGCTTTGGTTTTATAGCTTATCTCCTGTATCGTCTTTTGGACCTGTTTTAGTAAACATGTTTTTCATTTTATTAGATTTGGTCACTTAAAAATACAAAACTCGATTATCAAATACTCTGCGTGCATTCTTGGTCCAGCGGAGCCCTGGCTCAGCAGGCAGGAGGAGTTTCCACAGCTGCGCCCAGCTGGCAGGGGCAGGGGGCCTGGCCGTGGGGCCCAGGGGCTGGCCAAGGACAGCCACAGATTGGGTCCAGGAGACGTGGGGCTTGGCCTCCGCATTTGAAATGTGTTTTGTTCACTTGGAAAGCAGCAGTCTCTTGTAGGAAAGTGGGTTCTTTGTTTTGCTAAAGTTGAAATCCAGCAGCTGCTTGCTGTCTGACCACAAGGTGGCACCCTTTACTTGAAGAGCCACCATGTCCTGTGCGGTCCCTAAGGCTGCTTCCAGTTCACCACCCCCCACCTCCTTGCCTCCACACCCGTGCCAGGCTGGGCCCCCCACTGCCACCTCCAGGTTCCCGGATGCTGCAGGGGGTGGCCCCTGGTGCCCGCAGGACATTTCCTCTGACCCTAGCAGCGCCCCGGGGATCTGCACCTGACAGGCAGGTTCTGTGCACTTTGGGGCTCCCCTCACACTTGGTCCAGATCTTTGCTTTACCCTAAAGGTAGGCTCACATGTTCCTTTTCGCAGCTGATCCATGTCTGCTATGGGCTCTGCCCTGGAAGATCACACACGGACTGGGCATCACGGGAAGTGAAGGCTGCCCAGGAAGGGCAGGGCCGGTGGGGTGGAGCTGGACCCCTGGCTGCCGACGTCTTCCATCAAGCGCCTGTTTGATGATTTCACTTGCACGTCATTCGAAAGCACTGTGTCTGTGGGTGCCGGGCTGAGGGGCTGTGATCTCAGAACTCCAGGGGCCACAGCAGCCTCAAGTGCAGCCACACTCTTGTACATCTTCGACATTCTTTGGTTTTTGATCGGTTTATTTAAAATTGCTCTATAATTTACCACTTGTGTGTATTTAACCCACTCTTGTGAAAAAAATCTTTCATTATATCTTTGTTCCTAAATGTTGTGCTGTTTGAGTCTCTTGGTGGAAGTGCAAGTCCATCTCGGCCCAGTGCCAGGCTCGCCCACGGGCAGGCCAGCGGCTTGGCCTGTGGGGGGGCGCCCCGTGACTAGCCATGGGCCCCGGCAGCAGCGCCACACTGCTGGGCCTGGACCCCTGCGTGCGGTGGTAGGCGGGGGCGGGCTCCGCCGGGCCTCCTCTGCTGTGCTGGATGCCGGGCCTTACCCTCTGTCCATGGCCGGATCTGATCCAAACACTTAATGTTTCCTGAGGTTTTGAGGAGGCAGATTACATAGCAAATATTTTACTTAATGTGGGTTATTTCCGCGCCGTATGTGAAATCTCAACTATTAAAAACCCTTGTCAGCGGTAGAAATGATCCGTGCTGTACAAAGCCTTCACCCAGTGTCCAAGGCGGCAAGCTGTCTGCAGTGACCCAAGGTGAAAGATGACCTTGGGACGCCTGGCTGGCCCATTCGGAAGAGCAGGTGACCCTTGATCTCGTGGTCGTGAGTTTGAGCCCCACGTTGGGTGTAGAGATTGCTTAAAAAAAAGGTGAACTTGTCCTGTGGGTCTACACGTCTGACCCCGTGTCCATGTTGCTCTCCCTCGGAGGGGTCACCGGCCCCTCCCTCTTATGTGGAGTCCCTGGTGGACGTTGGACGTCCCCAGTAGTTGTCCCAGCTGAACCGCTGAGTGCAAGCTGTGTTTGGAGTCTCTTGATTCAGGGAGGAAGCCCCTGACCAAACTCGGGCTGCATGGACACAGGTGAAGGAGTCCTGGAGGTGTGGAGAGTGGTCTTGCAAAGGGCGTTGCCAGCATCTCCCCCAGGAAGCTTCCCCAGGCCCAAGTCTGAGACTGGAAACTGCAAATGCAGCCGAGGGGTCTGGGTCTGGGTCTGAGGCTGGAGTGACCGTCATGGGGGGCAGACTGCTGTGGGGACAATGCCCAGTGTCTGGGTACAGAGAAGCGGCTGCTGGCCTGGGCCTCCCCTCCAGGGGCAGTAGGGAGGGCGTGGAGGACTGGGGAGCAGGGTCTCTTTGGTGGTTTTCCAGGCAGCTCCTGTGCTCACGGGGGGGAGCCGGGCCGCTGGAAGGAACCATGGGATGCAGGGGAGAAGGGGAGGGGGCACTGAAGAGCAGAGAGCTGCTTCCCTGACACTGGGCCCGAGCCCAAGGGGGCCGCGTCCCCCTGCAGAGCACAGCTTGGCTGAGACTCATGGACCAGTGGGCCAGCGAAGTGGCTCCTGCTTCCTGCTGACGGTCGAGGTGCCTGGGGATGGGAGCAGAACCCATGGTTCAGCCGGGGCTGGGCCTGTTTGAGGCCCACTGCCGTGTGGCTCCCCCGTCCAGCTTCAGAGGTCGTCTGCTGTAGGTCGACCCGCCTGTAGGACCGTGCTGGAGGCTGGCCAGTTGGCGGTACCCACACAGCAGCCAGTCGGAGATGGTGCACTGGCCCTCGCACTCTGACACACTGAAGCCCTGACGGATCGGGCCATCAGGTGCCCAGCCTCCTGGGCACCGCAGGAGGGGTCTAGCAGCTCAGTGGGAGTCCCTGGGCTACCTTCCTGACCTGGTGGTGGGTGCAGGTCACATCCAGTGTTCTATCCGGGCAGAGCACAAGGGGATCTTCTGCAGCGTGGCCCCCTTCAAGACCCAGGCATTGGGAGCCGGCTCACCAGCTGGACACCCGAAAGAGCTGAGGCTCCAGCAGCGAGCTCAGACTTTGCCATAACCGCCCGCTGTTGTCCCTGGACCCGACCACCTCTGCCTGAACCGGGAGGGGGGACGGATGACCCCAGGCCGACTCTCCTCACATCTTCCCCACCAGGCTTGTCTCTGGGGCAGCTCTGCTTGTAGTGGCCACGGACACGGTCTGGGGTTGGGGTCTGCCTTCATCGTTCCTAGTGGACGTCTGGAAATTGAGGAGTGCCGGGAGGAGGACTCTTACGCTGTCCACTAGGACCAGTGTGCCCGCTTCCTCTAGACTGGACTGCAAGCAGCAGCTCCTCTGGGGGCTAGCCACGGCTCCGACCGTTCCTAGTCCTGGTCCACTGAGGGGCAGCGGTCAGCCCCCCCGGGCCCCCGTTTTGTGGCGACTGACTGCAAGGTTTTGTTGGCTTGAGCTGGCCCGGGTCATCCTGTTGCCTGCAGTGGGCAGGTGGTTAAGGAAGGGCCCTAACTCTCCCTGGGGACCCACCCACTGGTTTTCAGGTCCAGCTGGGGGGAAATCTTGTGCTCCCTCTCCTTGGGCTGGACAGCTGTGGAGGCAGCAGGCTCCTCTGGCAGGGCTCACCGTCGTGCGGACCTCCGGATTGCAAAGGCCTGGGGACCTGTCCCTTTCCCCTGCTGGCTTAGGACAGCAGGAAGCTGAGAGGCCTGGTTGGGTGAGGGCACCCCCTCAGGCTGTAAGGGTTGGCCTGTGCCCCAAGAAGAGGAGTGGGTAGAGGGACTCAGGCACCCTCAGCTAGGCCACCCACCATGCCTTTCTCTGAGGTCAGTCAGTCCCTCCCCTCGCTAGCCATGCTCACCCCCAGTGGAGGGCCAGTGCCCAGGGTCACCTAGGCCAGGACAAGGCTGGGAGCCCAGTAGGTCAGCTGTCCTTCCTAGGTCCTGCCTTTCTCAGGAGCAGGGTCGGAACCAGGCTTCCGGGCATCACCGGGACCCTGGGGTCGGGGGCCTCTGTCAGAGGGCCTGGAGGGGGCCTGTGGTAGGGCTGGAAGGATCCGGAGGGGCTGAGTGAGGTGGGTCATATGTAGGAAGGGCAGATGGGGCTGTGGGTCCTGATGGAGTTTGTCCCTACCCTGGGACCTCCTGGGCCACCACCCTGAAGGGGCTGGGTGTGAGGTGCGGGGAGCTTAGCTGGGAGGCGGGTGGAGTGAATTCACGTTAACAGTTTCCAGGGTGAGCTGGCCCTCCTGGAGAAGGGTGGGGGCTGTTTCCAAAGGCAGGGAGCGCCCCGGGGAGGCGCAGCCCCTTGCAGCAGCCTAACGCCCCCGTCCACGCCCCCGGGCTGGCGGGGGAGCCCTTGTTGGCTGGCAGACCAGCAGAGTGTGAGCCCTCCCCCTTGGAGTTTTGGGGAGGAGGGGAAGGCTTATTTGGCGGCGTGCGCGGGCAGCCCGGGCGGGCACTGCGTGTGAGGGGAGGCCGGCGCCGGCCCCAGCCCGCGGGCTCAGGAGCGCGTCTGCCTCTGCCGGGTCCCTTGTGTCGTCCGCCCGTCGTGGTGCCCGTCCTACTGCTGTCCAGGCTCGCCCTGCCTGCGCATGCACGGGGGGCGGCTAGGTGCCCCCTGGGGCTGTGTCTTCCCCCGGGGGCCCTGAGTGCCGGCTGCAGTGCCGCCCCCATGAGCACACCTGGGAGTCCCCGCTCGCCGCGCTGAGCCGCCACCAAGGTCTGGAGCCGCTGGGCGCCATGCGCTGGGCTTGGGCCGCCGCCATGGCCCTCTGGCTGCAGGTCATGCTCCTTGGGGGCGTCGGGGCGCAGCGGGAGCCCAAGAGGCCACGGCAGCCCAGCCAGCGCACTGAGCCCCCCACGGCCACCGCGTCCAACAGTGAGGGGCTGCTCCGCTCCCCCAAGGTACGCACGGGCCGGTTGCTCGCGGGTGCGGGGGTGCGCGCACTCCCAGGCTTCAGGCGGCCCCTGGGCTCCGGGCCGTCCTCCCACTTGCAGGCTCTGCCCTGCCCGGCTCTCCGGGCCTCCCCATCCTGTCTCGGTGCAGCGGGGCTTTGGGCAGGACTTGCAGCAGCGGCTCCTGGGGCAGCCACTGGGTCCCCCGGGCCCAGGGGAAGGGTGGGGGAGGGGAGGGGCTTCCCAGAGGGGCTGCAGCGAAACCTTTGAAGCCCCAGGTCCCACGAGCTGCCCTTGGGTGTAGTTGCTAATTCAGGCGTGGGGCGGGGGGTGGGGGGAGCTCTAGACCCCTTGTTGGGAGCCCAGGTGTCCCACAGCTTGAGTGGCTGGAGAGGCTAAGGCTAGCCTGGGCTCTGTGCTTGCCCGAGGTCCTTGCCCTAACCCCCACTGTGTAGCCAGCACCCCATGGCCTCTGGCGCGGGCTGTGTTCTGGTCGTTGGGAGCCCTCTGGCCTCAGTCGGCCCCTGGGGCCCCCTCTGAGACAAGAGATCCCTGCAGCTGCCTCAGCCCTGGTCCTCCACCCTCTTGAGCATCTCCTGAGGGGGTCTAGGCGCTGACCCCACCCACACAGGCCTGGTGGTTTCACACAGCTGCCCACCTGGGGGCCGCAGGCCTGGAAAGGGAGAGGCAGCTGCTGGGGCAGGCCCCCCACCCCCAAGCCCTCATGCCTTTGATCCTGGCCTCCCGCCTCCCAAGGGCGTCTCTGCGGCAGCCAGCCCGGCTGCTCTCAGCCCACGCAGCCCATTGGAGCCCGAGGCCCCATCTTCCAGATGGGCAGGCTGAGGAGAATGAGTCCTTGGGCCCTGCCAGCCAGAGAAGGGTGGGCTACCGACAGCTTCTGGGGGCAGGCACGGGTCCATCTGGGGACAATCAGGCAAATCTCTATTCCAGGAGTGGCCTCCATGGTGGGGGGCTGCCATGGGACACATATCCCAGGACAGCCCTCCCCAGACATTGGGACCCCTGCTCTTCCTGCTAGGGGTGGGCTCATCTTCCACCTGCCCCTTGGCCCCTAGACACCACTGATGGACTTGTCTCTCCAGGCTCCTGGGTCCCTCAAGCGTGGCTAGGGCGGGTGGCAGCCAGGGGATCAGGCAGATAACAGATATGCGAGGAACCAGGACATTCAAATATTCTTGGCTTCTCTCTCTTCTCTGGGTGGGGCCCAGATCAGGGGTGGGAGGCACCCCACCCTCCTGCCCCTCCCATCCCCCAGGATAGAGGCCTGTCTGGTCTGCTGAGAGGCCCTGGCCCCCCCGGGTCGGGAGGCAGCACCTGCCCCAGGAACCTGGCTCTTGCCATGTTTGGGACTGAGGGCAGACTGCTGGACTGGACCTGCCTGAGTCAGGACCTCTCAGCTTGCCCTGCCGGGAACAGCTCTCCGAGAGTGGCCAGGGCTCTGCTAGCCCCATGATCGTGGCTCCCTCCCAGCCAGGCCAACATCTGCTGTGTTCCTGCCCATTTCATGAGCTTCCTATTGGCATGCAGACTTCCTCAGAGGCAGGCCGACTCTCTCCCCAGCCCACGCCCCCTTACTTGGCATGATGTGCTCCTTCTTTGACCTTGGGGCTTAGGGTGCTCCTGCCTCTCCTGCCTGTCCTGGTGCAGAAACTGGGCTTAGGAGGGGGTCGTTGGGAGGGTGGAGGGGGGCATGGTCTTAGGCAGCTCCACTCTGCCCCTCCCAGACCTTGCTTGAACAGCCAGGTGTGCTGGCCAGCTGTGGCCTGGGTCCGAGCCTGAGGGGCGGGGCCGGCGGGAGTGCCAAGGCTGCCCGCTCGCACCCCTGATGCCCAGCACAAAGCAGAGCCTGTGCCCATCCTCGCCCCAGCTTGGCGTGGCTCTGAAGCTCTTGGGAAGCCCCCCCACCGCCCCACCGAAATTTGCTCCTGCTCTTTACCGCCCACCTGCTGGGGCGTGTGCGGCTGGCCCCATGTGTACATGGGTGTGCCTGTCTGCTTGGGGGTAACCCGGCACAGCGGGAAGGGACACAAGTGCTCCAACACAGATCCAAAACCAAGGTGCCCGGGCATCAGGTCCTGGCTTCCACAAAGGAAGCCCTTGCTGCATGCGTCCAGGCCTGGGTCCCCAGGGTGGCCTGCGGTGCCCCACTGCCACGTATCTTGTGCGTGCCCTGAGTCCTGCCCAAGGTGGCCTGGGCCCTGAGTTTCCCCACTCCCCACTGGGGGCAGTAGGGCAGGACTCACGGGGGCCTCGTGGCCAGCACACTAGCTCTGTCCCTGGCCCTGCAGCCACCTGAGGCCCTGGGGTCTGAGTTCTCAGACGCCCACATGACATGGCTGAACTTCGTCCGGCGGCCAGATGAGGGGGCCTCGAAGACACGGTGCCGGGGCCGGGATAAGAAGTCGGTGAGCCCCGGGGTCTGAACCCAGGGCAGGGGGGGCTGTGGTTCTCACTGGGACCCTCACTTTCTCCTGCCTCCCCCCAGAGAGGCCTCTCTGGCCCCCCCGGGCCCCCCGGGCCTCCTGGACCCCCCGGACCCCCCGGTGCCGCAGTCACCCAGGAGGCCCTGCTTCGAGAGTTTCAGGAGATGCTGAAAGGTGAGGCTGCTGTCCTGGACTCTTCCCGCCTGGGCCCTGGGGGTGACCGCCCCAACCCCAAGACGCTGCCCTCACTCTTTTCCCCACAGAGGCCACCGAGCGCCGGTTCTTGGGGCTGCTGGGCCCGTTGCTGCCTGAGGGGACTGGTGGGCGGCTGGTGGCCGAGGCTTTCCACTGTGCACTGAAGGGCCCCATGGTGGTGGACGAGAAGACGCTGGTGGAGCTGCATGGCTTCCAGGCCGTGAGTGCGCGTCGGGGCGAGCCCTGGTCTGCTCGGGGCATCTGCTGAAGGCCGTCCTCAATGCCAGCAGCGGCCAGCGGTGGGGGGGGGGGGGGGCGGGTGCTGGGTCGGCTCCCCACCGCTGGGCAGGTCTCACACCCAGCACATACACCCAGGGGGCGCCTGGGGGAGCCAGGCGTGGCAGGGAGGAGGTGACCTGGGTCAGGGTTAGCAGGTCCCATGTGCCACGACTTAGGGTGGGGTCCAAGGTGGCCAGGAGCCAGGGATGCCCTCCCTGGTGGGGGCTCTTGAGGGTTCACCCATCCCTTTGGGCCTGGAGCCTGTGCCCAGAGGCCCAGGTGGGTGAAGACACACAGGTTCCCCCCCACCCCATCCTGCCCACCTGGGCCCTGCTTGGTGGGGGGGGCGGGCAGCTGTTGGTCACAGGCACCTCCCCCAGGCTGGATGTGCAAGATGAGGGCCCAGGCCCTGCAGCCGGCTCTTCACCTGCTATCCCTCCAGCCCACGGCCCAGGGCGCCTTCCTGCGGGGGTCTGGCTTGAGCCTGGCGTCAGGCCGGTTCACAGCCCCGGTGACCGCCATCTTCCAGTTTTCTGCCAGCCTGCATGTGGGTGAGTGGGGGCCAGCCCCCAGGCCTGGGTCCCATTGAAGAGGTGCCTCCTGTTCCATCCCCACCTCCCGCAGGGGAGGGGGGTTCTCGCTCAGGGCCCACTCTCCCCCAGCCCTCAGCAGCTCCCGGGCCCGCCCCTGGCAGTCTAGCCACCGCCCCTCTCTGCTCTGTCCTCCCTGGGGGCTGCTGCAGGCTGGGCCTGTCTCCACAGACCACAGGGAGCTGCAGGGCAGGGTGCGGCCGCGGGCTCGGGACACAGTGCGGGTGCTCATCTGCATTGAGTCCCTGTGTCATCGACACACGTGAGTGGGCCTTCCCTGCGGGCACTTTTGATGCTGCGGGGGCCGTGGGGGATGGTGCCCAAGCCTGAACTGTCCTGCCTGGGCAGAGGGCAGGACACAGAGCTGTGTACCCGGTGGCGGGGGGGCTGGCCCCACAGCCAACGTGCCCTCACCCTCGCCCTGCGGCGCCGCGTCCAGGTCCCTGGAGGCCATCTCGGGCCTGGAGAGCCGCGGCAGGGTCTTCACCGTGCATGTGGAGGGGCTGCTGCAATTGCAGGTGAGGCTGGAGGGCTTGGATGGGTGGGGAGGGGTCCTACGCCTGGAGCCTTGGCCTGGCACTGCTTAACCCAGCGAGTGGACGGACATCGGCCACGTGACCCCCTGGGTGGGTGCTGCCTGGTGGGGCTCGAGCTTCATTCCTCCATATGCTGCCCCCTGGGCAGGCGGGCGCCGTGGGTGGTGATGCCCACTGTGGGGTGTCTGCAGGCCGGACAGTATGCCTCCGTCTTTGTGGACAACGGCTCCGGGACCACCCTCACCATCCAGAGTGGCTCCAGTTTCTCCGGCCTGCTCCTGGGCACGTGAGGGCCAGACAGGGGCCAAGAGCACCTGCTGGCCCTCACACACCCACTGTCCTCTGTTAAACCTGTGGTCACAGCAATAAAGAGCTCTCAGCCCTCCCTGTCGCCTGGTTACTGAGTCATCGTGGAGGTGGGGGTGGGGGTGCAGCCCCGGAAGGACGTGCTGTCTCATGTCCAGTCTTGGAGGCAGCGGCCCCTAACACCTGCAGGGCCAGGGGCCCAGACCCATTCAGCCTGGGAACCAGAAGTCCCAGAAGTTGGTGAGTCAGATGGCAGCCGGATACCGTGCGCGGTCCCTGTCTGGGGTGCAAAGAGCAAGGTGGGGAGCCCTTCAGAGGGCCTTGTCGGGGGGGGGGCAGGCGCAGGGAGCACGCGGGTGGGGGCCACGCACAGGGCTGCGCACGTGAACCCGGAGGGCGGTGCGCCTCACCCCCGGTGTGCTAAGTGCGCATGCGTTTCTGGGGCGGAGCCAAGGGCACCTCTCCACTCCCGGAGGCCCGTACAAACCCCAGGTGGGGTGGCCAAGGCCGTGCCTGCGGCTCCTGTGGATTTGGGGCCCTCCACCCCCACCCTGTTTTGGCTCCAGAGAACCCAGACCAAAGAATGTAAATTGGTCTTGGGATGTCCGGGCCCCTGCAGAGCTGCGGAGATACGATCTCTGGTTGGCACCTGGGCCCTCAGCAGGCAGCCCCACCTTGGGGGCCGGGGCCAGGCCAGGCCCCTGGCCCCTCCACAGATGCCTGGGAGGGGGGGCAGGGCCTGAAGCCCCCTCTCCAAGGCTGAGCGGGGATGGGCAGGGGGCGGGGAGGACAAGGGCTCCCGGGTCTGCCTGCTGGCTCAAGGGGCAGGGAGGGGAGGCAGGGCGGAAGAGACCGGAGCCGAGAGCCATTATCCCTCCCCTCCCCTTGGGGACCCTCCCTGCAGCCCGCTGAGTAATGAGGCAGGAGAGTGCTGGTGCCGGGCTGGCGCCAGCCCCCACAGCAACAGACTTGGCCGATGACCCGTCCTCACCTCGCTCCCTGGTCGCCCCAGGGTGGCGTCAGGGGCTGGGGGCCGAGTTGGGGGTGTCTGTGCTTCGCGGTGGCTGCAGGCGCCGGCCCGGTCTGAGCGGGATATTCTGGCCGCTTGCGGGGATGGGGGGCGGGGCACGGGTGCCTTTCTGGGGAGGTTGGGAGAGGAGGGGCACACCGGGGAGGCAGAAACTCAGGAGGGGCCACTGTCTCCCGCTTCCCATTATTGAGGTCCTGCGCTAGGCTTGGCTGTGGGCACTGTCCATGCCGGACACCCGTTTACAGAGGGAAACAGGGGACGGGGATGCTGAAAGATAACGGCCAGCACCCAGCCGGACTCTCAGCTGTGCCTGGGGCCTCACTGCATCCAGGGGCTCCCCACTCCCCTGCAGGTCCTTCAACGCCAGCCAGTCCCCTCCCTGGTCAGGTCCAGGCGGGGACAGGTCTCATGGTATCCAGATGGGCTTTGGGGACTGTGATGACAGAGATGGAGACCCAGACCCAGAGATGGGGCCCAGGGCCCACAGAGAGTGACAGACAGGGGATGACAGGTGAGAGGCGAGGACAAGAAGGACAAACCAGGCCAGCCCCTTGGGGCCCACGGTGGGCAGGTAGCCAGGGCCCTGGGCCCGCCGCCTGATTGCACCTGCCTCCAGGTCTGTCTGGTCTTCCTCCCTGTTTCTGCCACCCTAATCAGAGGTCATTAGCCACTTAGCTGTAATTCTCTTGGAATGTGCTGTCTCCGGTTGAGCCTCCATGGCTGAGAGTGTGGGAGCAAAGTCATGGGGGGCTGGGGTGGGCCATGGTGGCTACTGTACAGCATCCAGGGCTGTGAGCTGAGGGGCCCAGGGTTCAGGCCCCAGGCTCAGACAGGCCCCCAAGGACACAGCCTGGCCTCCCAGTGTGAGCAAGGGGCCGGTGCAGAGTGAGGCTCCCAAAGGCATAGCCTGCCTTCCAGGGCCGGGGTACCGGCCCCACAGATACAAGGGAAAGCAGTCTTCTGCACATGGAGAAGATGAAGATTCTCAAGTAGCTGACTCTGGGACCTGCTTCAGTGGAGCAGTGCTGCCGTGTTGTCCTCAACCCAGACTGTGGTGTTTGAAAAGCTTCCCGTGGCCTGGGGAGGGGTCTGGAGCCCCCTAGGTGGCCCTGGGCCCTTGTGGTGATGCCCAGCTTCCCGTGGCCTGGGGAGGGGTCTGGAGCCCCCTAGGTGGCCCTGGGCCCTTGTGGCGATGCCCAGCCTGAGCGGGGTCTCCAGGGAGTGGGAGAGCCTGGGAGATGGGGTTCTTGCCCCGGCCTGGCCTCTCTGGATTTGTAGCTGTGTTTTGGGGTGGCCTGAGCGTCTGGCTGGGGCCTGAGCGTCTGTGCAGAGTGGCTGCACAGCTCTGGATGGCCTTGGGTTGACCCTTGACCCCGCACCCTACCCGGGAGCAGCGGGAAATAATGGGCTGACCTCACTGACCTCCCCTAGGGCTCACTTCCCAGAACCTCCATCTGACCCTGGGGCTTGCCAGGCAGGGCTCGGGGCTCTGCTCTACTAGGTAGGGGCTCGTGGGAGGGAGCACGCTTCCTCTGGGATCCCCTAGCCCTGCACTGCCACTGACTGGCCCCTCTTGGCCCCACGGTAGGCCTTGGGGTGTCTCAGTGTCGGGCCATAGCCTGGCCTTCTAGCACCCTGGGCGCGCTGTCTGGTTTGAGTGCAGACAGGAATGTGGCTGTCTGGTTCAGGACAGCTGGGAAGTGCTCTCGGGGGCCAGGAGAAACCGCTATAGCTTAGCAGCTGGGCCCCACCCTAGGTCTGCGGGGCTGGAGCCTGGAGGGGCGTTGTGGGGGCGCGGTTCCAGGCTTTGAGCGAGAAGGCCGCCCGTTCCCTCACACCATGATTCTCTGTGGGGCTGAGGGACGGGACAGGGTAGGGGTGAGGCTTACAGAAGAGGCCCCCCCACCCTCACCTGGGCCCTGGGGTCCCTGCCAGAAGTGTGGACGTTAGCATATAGCCGGGCCAGGGCCCAGCTTTGGGTCTGACTTCACCCCTTCAGGTTGGGCCTGTGGCTGGTAAGCGGGGGCTGTTCCAAGGGTGGCTATCTATCCCCAGCCAGGTTCCTCCGAGCACACCTGGGAGGTGCTCACTCCCAGACCAGACGTCCTGACTCCTGTGACCTGGGCCAGGGACTGAGATTTGGCCTGGGGGTGCGGGGGTCTGGGGGGCAGTTTCTGTACTTCTCTCTTTGGGTCTGCCTGTCCCCAGGCTCCCTGTCCTGGCAGTGGCTGGGATGGTGTCTCTGACTTGGAGCGGTGGTCTCTGTGTCTCCTCTATCCCTGCCTGGGGCAAGGACTTTCTTTGTTAAGCTGGAATTGCCAGGACCCTTGGGAGCAAACACAGGACAGGTGTCCAGGACCTAGTGGCTGGAGCCCCTGGCCAGCCGGTCACTGAGCTCGGGAATGGCTGTGCTTGGGGTCTTTGGCATCAGGGAGGCCAGCTGGCTGGACCATGCTGATGGTCACAAAACCGCGGGACCCTGAGGTGGGGAACCTCAAGCTGGGCTCACTGTGATGGCTGGGGACTCTGGGGGATGGTGGCTAGGGACAGGGATTCCTCACCCCCAAGGAGGAGCTCCGAGCACACTGCCCTGAGGCAGAAGCTCACTGCGGGCAGCAGGGAGCCTTACCTCGCCTGAGGTCTCTGTCCTGAACACAGAGCGCTGATCTAAGGCCAGGGAGCCCTCTTGAGACAGGAGCTGGGGGGCAGGGGGGGGCGCTGCCTCCCTGGGGTCTTGCTCACTGACTGGGCTTGGCCATTGCGCCCTCTGGGCTCTGAGCGCTCCCTGACCTGAGGGTCCTGCCCCAGGGTCAGCCAGCTGCTGGGGCTCTAGCCCCGGGCACCTGAGCTGACCCAAGAGCGGAGGCCTTCAGCACCCCGGGTCTCCCAGAGCCCAGACCGTGCAGCTGGGTCCAAGAGGGCTGGGAGGCATGTCCAGGTGTCAAGAACGCAGCCCTACCCTTGACCCTGCCTCCGGCTGCCGTCGGCATGTCTGCCCGCTCGTGAGTCTGGCCGTGTGCACGGGCAGGCCTGGGGGCGGGGGTGGTGGAGCTTGGGGACAAAAGGCCTTTGTTCAGGAGGGTTTGGGGTGCAGCCCCTGCTCCGGGGCAGTGACTCATGGGTTCCTCTGGTGTGATAACGTCAGTTTTGCAACAGCCGGCATGTCACACACACCCAGGCGGCTTCGAGGGTAGGAGGGACCCCCAGCTGCACTTGCGGCCCCTCCAGGCTGCTCTGTCTGAACCTGGGCATGTGAGGGGGTGGCAGCGCGAACAGGAGCGAACAGGAAGGGTGTCAGAGGGCCAAGCAAAACTCCACTTCTGACGTATAGCATCTCCAGAAGCAAGCACTCAGCCTCCTTAGAGCCCCTTGCCTGCCTCCCGGCCCCTGCTGGCCCCCTGCTGTGGGCCTGAATCCCTCCCCGCCAGGCGGGCCCAGCAGCCTGGGGTCGCTCACAGCAGGACGCGCCTTCAGGCGGGCCCAGCAGCCTGGGGTCGCTCACAGCAGGACGCGCCTTCACCGTGGGGTTGTCTGATCCTTCTTCCCGTGGCGGGAGGGCCTGACACAGGGGCCTTGCTCTTGCGGGCTTGAGCCTGGCTCGGCCTTCTTTCCATCACTCCCTTTGTAGGACCAAGTGGGTGCCTGCGTCAGGGTGCAGGGGCCCCTGGTCCCCATGTGAGACCTTTCGCCGTCCGGGGCCAAGGGAGCACAGGGTCGATGGCCACAGACAGGCCCAAAGCGGGCCAGGCATCCAGCCCCGCTCAGGACCGCCGGAGGAACCATGGAGAACCGCATGGGGGCTGGGCCGCCGAGATCCAAGGACGCCGCTGGAAGGAGCGGGCCGGGCTTGGATTTCCTTCTCCTCGGGTCACCAGGCTGGGTCAGCCCTGGGTCGGTGGAGGTGGGAGCTGGGTGAGGGTCTTTGCAGGCTTCCTGTCTGGCCGGCCACTGCCTGTGCTGAGCACAGAACAGCCCAGGGTGCAGCCTCCATCCCGTGCACAGAGCAACGCGCTGTCCAGGCCACTCGTGGCCCTGGCTCCGCCCTGGCCTGGAGCGACACCCAGCACCACAGCCGGCTGAGCTCTGCTTGGTGGACCCCGCTGGCTGTAGCAGAAGGGGCCTGGGGCCATGTGCAGGGGAAGTGCGGGGACCTGGGGCCAGGGGAGACGGGGGTACCTGTGTGTGGAGGCTACTCTGGGCACCCCCACCTGCTGGCCACGGATGTGTGTGGGAGGGGCCCTGACCGTCCTGCTGAGTGGC